ATGCCCTTGCTGCCAGATAAATCCCTAAATTTGAGCCTGTCTCAGCATGTTATACTGTCTAGTATCGGACCCTGCGAGTCGGCTGGTCAAAACAACAAATCTGCCGACCGGCCGCGCCATGGAAAATACACGGATTTGTAAATTTGTCGCCGGGTTAGGATAAAACCTAAAATAGATACCATGGCACCGTCGGGTACGGTAAAGAGTCTCCACGAAAAGGTCTGCTTGTGTTGTGTGACAAAATGTATTACCATGGAGGCGTAATAACTGTGTATGGAGACATAACATTTTTTGCGGAGAATACTATATTTTTTGGTAGTGGCTATACTTAAAATGCTCTGCCAAAACCATTTTTGGCACCAAGCTCCTAGTGAATATATTCATTTTGTCTCCGACCTTTTCCACCAGTCGTTTCGTCTATTTTAAGTCGGCATATTTTACCATCCCCGGTTGTAAAGGCTTACCATCCATGACGGCTTACCATTTTACCATCCCCGGTTCTTGTCATTCATCCTAAAATTGCACCGGTGAAGTATACGCCCGAACAACCTTCTAAATGTACAGTTTGATGTTTTAAGGCCTTCAAAGATACTTCTTTCAGATGGGTCATCATTTTCGTCCACCCGTAGGTTCCGGCTTAGTGTTAACCGCGTGCCGACGCCGCACGGCCTAAAGAGACTGCATCGCCTAGCGTCGAGGTTTTTGTTTCTAAAATTTGCGAGCGCGCATGTTCAAAACTTCGTCACCTAATTTGTATCACTAATCGATTCTGACTGAACGCTGAACATGACCAGCCAAACACTATTTCGATCTATAATCTACAATCGCGGAGTCCCTAATAGCTATGCAAAACCCAGATGAAAGGATAAAAGCTCTGACGAAGACTCTGGGTGTTATAAGTACAGAAAGAGTGCACTGGAAATGAAGAAAGCCTGTGGTGTATTTCATGGAACCCTTAAACGCTTGATTTCTTCACATTACTGACCATAAAATTTAGACCGAATTGACGTCGCGGTGGCGTCTGGCTTCTTCAGTTATAGAAGAAAAAATGAGAAACATCAAAGAAAAGCATGACCTCCTTAACAAATGGGTCACATTCACTGATTTTCTACGGGGTGCCCTTCACTATTTGGGAGCCCTTTGCCAACACTGTGCTCCCTTGCCGAGGGGCCCTGGCTGCGCGCCCGTTTGATGGACTAGAAAGAAATAACAAAAGTGGCTATTAGCCCCTCACTTGCGGGGGCTTGCGTTGTACCTGTGGTCATTCCAATCAGCCGCGTTTAACGTAAATCGTCTGTTCCTTAGACCATCTCCTCTAAGGCCTATAGTCAGCATCTACCAGCAGTACGCCAGACGCATTGAAAAACTGACCCAGCTCACACAGTGCCCCCTCCCCCGCGCCCGCCCCAGCTCGTGCCCCCCCCCCCCCCCCACACGTGACCGGGCTCCGTCCGACCGCCCAGCTGCCGGGTCCGACGGTGTGCTCTGCAGAGTGTCGGGCGTCGACCAGGCCGACTCTCGGGTTGAACTGAGCTCGGGTATCGTGCTGACGAGACCTCACCCGAGCCGCCCGGCAGTCAGAGGCGTGCTGACGCGGCCGGCGGCGCCCGGCGCCCGTACCCGCTCCTCCCCAGCCTGCCACCCGGTGACTATACCCGCCCCTCCCCAGCCAGGCGCCCGGTGACTGTACCCGCCCCTCCCCAGCCTGCCACCCGGTGCCCGTACCCGTCCCTCCCCAGCCTGCCACCCGGTGACTATACCCGCCCCTCCCCAGCCAGGCGCCCAGTGACTGTACCCGCCCCTCCCCAGCCTGCCACCCGGTGACTGTACCCGCCCCTCCCCAGCCAGGCGCCCGGTGACTGTACCCGCCCCTCCCCAGCCTGCCACCCGGTGCCCGTGCCCGTCCCTCTCCAGCCTGCCACCCGGTGACTATACCCGCCCCCTCCCCAGCCAAGCGCCCGGTGCCCGTACCCGCCCCTCCCAGTCTGGCGCCCGGTGCCCGTACCCGCCCCTCCCCAGTCTGGCGCCCGGTGACTGTACCCGCCCCTCCCCAGTCTGGCGCCCGGTGACAGCACCCCGCCCCTCCCAGTCTGGCGCCCGGTGACAGCACCCGCCCCTCCCCAGTCTGGCGCCTGGTGACAGCACCCGCCCCTCCCCAGTCTGGCGCCCGGTTACAGCACCCGCCCCTCCCCAGTCTGGCGCCCGGTGACAGCACCCGCCCCTCCCCAGTCTGGCGCCCGGTGACAGCACCCGCCCCTCCCCAGTCTGGCGCCTGGTGACAGCACCCGCCCCTCCCCAGTCTGCCGCCCGGTGACAGTACCCCCGCCCCTCCCCAGTCTGGCGCCCGGTGACAGCACCCGCCCCTCCCCAGTCTGGCGCCCGGTGACAGTACCCGCCCCTCCCCAGCCAGGCGCCCGGTGACAGCACCCGCCCCTCCCCAGTCTGGCGGCCGGTGCCCGTACCCGCCCCTCTCCAGTCTGGCGCCCGGTGACTGCACCCGCCCCTCCCCAGCCAGGCGCCCGGTGACAGCACCCGCCCCTCCCCAGTCTGGCGCCCGGTGACAGTACCCGCCCCTCCCCAGTCTGGCGCCCGGTGACTGTATCCGCCCCTCCCCAGTCTGGCGCCCGGTGCCCGTACCCGCTCCTCTCCAATCTGCCGTCCGGTGACTGTATCCGCCCCTCCCCAGCCTGGCGGCCGGTGGTCGTACCCGCCTCTTCCCACCGTGGCGTTCGGCAGCCGTACCCGTTCCTCCTCACACCTGCCTCAGTCACACTACAGACATGAGCGGTGTCTGGTGCCGCCTCCCCAGCCCTCGCCTTTGGCCGCAATGAGGCCTGTGGTCTTCTGTGGGCAGCCAAAATGTCCGCTAATGTAGTCTGCGCGCTGTTTATCGATGTCACCCGTCAAACTTTTAAGAGCACGATGCTAAGCGAGCCTAGCATCCTTAATCCTTATGAGCAAGCCTGCTAAGCATCCTTACCCGCGCGTCCAACACATTACCAATGGGTTATCGAAGCTCAAGAGCCCTCCTTCCTTCGAGAGTTGATGCTAGCGCTCTGAACGCGCCGATCAAAACAATAACAGCGGCGGCGACTTTAGGCCAGCTGCAGCAGCCGGAGCCTCAGCGACGAAAAACGATAGCAATGAAAGGTAATTAAGATGACTTCCTTACAATAATTATGTACGTGATATTCGTTAAGTAGTCTGTATTTTTGTTAAATTTTTGGTAACGGACCTTGCTCAGAGAGTCCAAGGCTCAAACATCTATTGCGACTAGATAGCTGCGACCGCATGTAGTCAAAATACGGTGCCCAACTTGGCTGTCGGTGTCGGGCGGTGTCATGATTGCATAGCCAACAAAGTACAGAGTCAAGTATCAACTATTTATATTTTTGACTCTGCGTGGCACGTCCGTGGCCGAAAATTCATCAAAAATGTGACTTACTTGACAGGTATCACGTATATCATTTTTGCAAGCGGGTGATCTGAGTTCCCTTTCAGTATTTGTCATGCCTGACATCGCACAAGCACTGCACCATCTTAAAAAACGATATCACATGAATGGCGCCAGCGATCATCTTTGAAGGTGGCAGAACTTGGCACAGATGCTGCCACTAACAAGACGCAGCTGCAGAACGGAATAAATCCACGGAAATCTAAACAACGAGGTACGGTCACCGTTCGTCGCTGCCATAACCACGCGTGACTGGACGTCGGTGCGAGTAGCGCAGGAGTACGGTTGCAACCGTTTACAGACATTGTGCAGCTGCTGATACTACATTAGCAGTACGGCGCGTTATTGCTGCATGGAAGGGTTCCGAAAGATGTCTTTGGTAATATTTTTAGCAATGTCTGACAGGGAGCAGCGGATGGGGAGAGATGCAACATGTCATTTCATTAACGCACCGTGCGAAGATCCCCGCACGAACGCACCACTCGTTAGCGCTGTGTGCTATTAATGTGATTTCTTGGCACTGTATCATGGCACTGTCTTCGTATCGCCTGTTTTGCAGTGACTTATAAGTCTCAAAATGTTCTCATTGTGTTTATGTGACGTCAGGCAACTAAAACACGAATTCATCGAAAACCTGGACTCTAAATGTATTACATATTAGAACCGGAACTTAAGAAGCACCGTCTCGGATCGGCGACTCATTGGAAGCATTAGCTTGAGCAGTGAAGCACTCGACGTCGCATTCGTCGATTGCCCCTAATGAGCGACAGCGGGCTGACGCTATGTATAGTCCGGCTGTGGTCTGACGATCAGCACGCACGCCACCGGTGATGCCGGCCGTGCCAGCCGGGCTGACCCGCCGGTGGCGGAAGCCGGTGGCGAGCGGCCACACGCGATCATCCTCACCTATAACCCTGCCCCGACGTCGGCGCTGATCAGTGTCCCGATCGGGACGGAGGCGCACGTGCACATGTTCGGCACGGCGGGTCAATGCAAGCCGGAGGCGGACGACGCTGAAGCAGGGGAGGGGCACTGATGACGCATCGATGGCAACAGGGTCGCTGCCGTGAGCCCGGCTGGGAACGGATATGACTTTCCGAGTGCGGTTAGCTAGTCAGAATACGACAGCCAACTTGGCGCCCGGCGTGGGGCGGTGCCATGAACGCGTGGCCACTCGTCAAACGGCGCGGCCTGCTCGGCCCAAGGTCAGGAGCCTCTCATCCACCCTCTCTCATCCGACAGAGAGAGGTTCAGCCACACACCGGAGACACAGCCCGCCCTTCATCTCCTCGACCACAGACAAGTGCTGCGAAAGTTTATATCCCGTCATCTGCCCTAAAAGCCGCAGCCCTCACTGCAAGCGAATTAAAACATGATAACAGGAGCTCTGTAAACGCTGCTGCCGTGGGTGACGGTCACCACCGTGACCTACCAGCCGTCACCGGGAGCTACACAAGCTGAGCGCCCAGCCCAGCCGTCACCGGGAGCCGTACAAGCTGAGAGGGAGCTGTATAAGCTGAGCGTTCAGCCCAGCCGTCACCCGGAGCTATACAAGCTGAGTGCTCAGCCCAGCCGTCACCGGGGGCTGTACAAGCTGAGCGCTCAGCCCAGCCGTCACCGGGGGCTGTACAAGCTGAGCGCTCAGCCCAGCCGTCACCGGGAGCTGTACAAGCTGAGTGCTCAGCCCAGCCGTCACCGGGGGCTGTACAAGCTGAGCGCTCAGCCCAGCCGTCACCGGGAGCTGTACAAGCTGAGTGCTCAGCCCAGCCGTCACCGGGGGCTGTACAAGCTGAGCGCTCAGCCCAGCCGTCACCGGGGGCTGTACAAGCTGAGCGCTCAGCCCAGCCGTCACCGGGGGCTGTACAAGCTGAGCGCTCAGCCCAGCCGTCACCGGGAGCTGTACAAGCTGAGCGCTCAGCCCAGCCGTCACCGGGAGCTGTACAAGCTGAGAGGGAGCTGTACGAGCTGAGCGCCCAGCCCAGCCGTCACCGGGGGCTGTACAAGCTGAGAGGGAGCCGCACAAGCTGAGCTCTCAGCCCAGCCGTCAGCGGGAGCTGCACAAGCTGAGCGCTCAGCCCAGCCGTTACCGGGGGCTGTACAAGCTGAGCGCTCAGCCCAACCGTTACCGGGAGCTGTACAAGCTGAGCGCTGAGCCCAGCCGTTACCGGGGGCTGTACAAGCTGAGCGCTCAGCCCAGCCGTCACCGGGGGCTGTACAAGCTGAGCGCTCAGCCCAGCCGTCACCGGAAGCTAAATAAGCTGAGCGCTCAGCCCAACCGTCACCGAGAGCTATACAGGCTGAGCGCTCAGCCCGGCCGTCACCGGGAGCTGCACAAGCTGAGCGCTGAGCGATGCTGCTTGTGACAGGCGTAACGAGAATTATGGCGTCACGGAATGTACAGCGCTTGCCAGAAACATACCTCCGAGTATTAAAGGATGCATTAAGATAGAATGATAAACAACGTTATCTAAATAAATGACGATTTATGCTGCATGCAAGTGTTTTGGGGTGACGAACGAGTTATCTGACCTTTTTTTCGAAAGGAATCAATGAACGCAAGCTTTAAAATGATGAAGCTTGAATTAGTGAGGTCGGAGCAACTTAGTTCCGTTTCACAACTCTGTACTTTTTAAGAATCAACGTGCCAAAGTCAGAAGCTGTGTTTTTGCGGCACCTATATTCGTGTGATATTACAAAAGAAAGCCTATAAATTTTGGTTCTGCTTTCTAACATCACTTGATAGTTTCTGTAAGCAGGTGGTTCAGGAAAAACCCAGCCGCACAACCACACCGAAGCGGACGCCCCCTCGACTGTGCTGCGAAAGGGACGATTTTTCAAAAGAAATTCCAGACCGCATGGGGAGCGTGAAACGCATCGCCTGTCATCGGCACCCGTCTGTTATCCTGCTGCATAACACATACAGGGAAGTTTGTGCTATGCCCATCTACTGGCCGAGATCAATTACCAGTCGCTTTTCTGGCCGGATTGCGTTATTCCCGTGATCTTACCGGTGCCTTGAGGAAGTTGCCGCGGAATCCGAGCGACACAGAAAAGCTCTGACAATGCATACTATTCCCTCCCAAGCACCAATCAAACTCAAAGGGTACTCCAGTGTCACCGCCCGTTTTGAAGACCGATCTTTGGCAGCCGCTGGGCGGTGGTGCCACGTACTCTCCTTGCATACTGTCCGAGACGAAATGAGAGCAATCTTGAGTTGTCGTACAATTCGCGAAACTAAAACTAGTGCGCGGTAAGCTGGTGTGTCTGTGAGGGTGTAATCGACTAAAACGTTCGTGGCATCGGCAGACAGTGATTAACATCGATTGGATGCCCACATCGCGGCGCTTTTTTATGTCAATGGCCACACAAAAATGTGATCGATATTTATAGCATGATGCCTGTTCAAACACCGCTGCCATTGAAGGCTTCGGGACAATGGCTGCAAAATGGTGGCCGCCGTCGATACATACAGCAGGACACCTGAACAAACAGCAGCTTACGATGGATGACCGGGAGTGGGCCCCAGCTACTGTGCCGCGGACCAAAATAGTTGCCCGACGTCCTGTTCAAACACTGCACACCACGGCGACGGCCGCCAGTGATATCAACAGAGCACGGACGGAAGCCGTGCCGCATCGACGCACCACCTTGGGTTTGTGCAGCCAGTCAACGTCGTGCAGAGTGGTGCGAAACGTCACTTGCATAGAGAGGGAGCTCTGTGGTCTGGCCTTTGGTCCTGGCCTTTGGAGGGCGCCGACAGCTGTCACCACATCACTACATCTGGCCACTGTCTCTACTAACCTTGGGGCTGCTCTAGCGCGCCACTGCGCGGGTTGGCACGACAAGCGGTGGTGCTCATGATGCGCGCAACGGACTTGCGGAACGGAGGTATGTCGCCATACGTTTTTGCTGAAGCTGGTTATTCTGAACCTGATCAAGCAAACAACGTCCTGGTGACACAATGCTGAAAATGTCAAATATTTCCATTTTCAGAGAAGGAACACTAAATACTCCCCTGAAAATGAAAAAATGACTGCTTCCATGAGATTGTGGCAGGTAACAGGGTATCGTGTACATTACAATACTTGATGACTTTGGCGTCCCCTTGCTCGCATTGCAAAAGGCGTCTTACTGGTCTTAAGGAAGGTCACACCAGTTTATCAACACATATTTTGTGGGGTACACATGTATCCCAATTGTGCTAAAAAATAGAACATGCGTCCTATGTGTGTTCTGGATGTTCTGTTCTGGATAGGTTCATGTTCAAATTCGATGCACCGCAACAGATTCTTTCCGCGCTTGGATCTGAACATGAACTATTGTGCTTTGGCTGGCCGATACCATTTTGCGGTCATTGTCCGGAACTAGAAATGGCTTATGTTTTCAGAGAGAGAGAGAGAGAGAGAGAGAGAGAGAGAGAGAGAGAGAGAGAGAGAGAGAGAGAGAGAGAGAGAGAGAGAGAGAGAGAGAGAGAAAGAGAGAGAGAGAGAGAGAGGGAGAGAGAGAGAGAGAGAGAGAGAGAGAGAGAGAGAGAGAGAGAGAGAGAGATAGAGAGAGAGAGAGAGAGAGAGAGAGAGAGAGAGAGAGAGAATATATATATATATATATATATATATATATATATATATATATATATATCTTGATTTGTCATCTTGATTTGTCACCACACATCATCCAAGCATTCCATGCTCGCAGCTTTTATGGTCTCTGAGATCATTCGGGACAGTTTTTACCATGTTCCCCTCCCAGACCTGCGATGAAAAAGATTTGGGAGATCTTCCAAGACCCCGCCAAAGGAAGTATTGGCAGCTGATGGGTTTTCAGCGCCTCAATCATGTCTACCACAAAAGACAGTCATAGATAACACATTACTACTTCATTCCTGAACAGCTCTACCAGCTGGTGTCTCCACCCCTCCCGACATACGTCCCAGCAGTCTTGGCTGCTGAGTGGGGACTATCCATGCTGGGCTGATTGGCGACACGCTCCGCGAGGCTCTGCTAGGACGTCTAGGCGTCGCGGGCCGTCAGGGGCTTCATGAACGCCGCCGGCTGTCTGGGCCTTGTGAACGCCGCTGGCTGCCGGTCCGTCTGGGCCTTGTGAACGCCGCTGGCTGCCGGTCCGTCTGGGCCTTGTGAACGCCGCCGGCTGCCGGGCCGTCAGGAGCCTTATGAACGCCGCTGGCTGCCGGTCCGTCAGGGCCTTATCAACGCCGCCGGCTGCCAGGCCGTCGGGGCCTTATGAACGCCGCCGGCTGCCAGACCGTCAGGAGCCTTATGAACGCCGCCGGCTGCCAGGCCGTCAGGGCCTCGTGCTGCGCGCCATCGCTGAAAAGTCACAGAAGTGGGCACGGCCGCCGTGAGACGCTCGACTAATTGGCGGAGAAGTTCGCTGTCTGACGGAGACGCCTCCAAAAGTTCCTCATATCGCCAGCTCAGCACGCATTAATGAGGACTTGGCCCATCAAACGCTGCGTCAGCAGAAATAGTGCACGTAAAATTCGAGGGCAATTACGGCGATGAACGCGGCAGCTTCGGCTCAGGAGGCAGCGTCAAAGACGGCTCCAGTTTTGTTCCAGCATGGTATCGTCCGGGAGTCCTCATTATCTCTTGTGATATCCTGGATACGTGTGATGCAGTTGGCTGGCACGTTTGCATTAAGCAAACGACAGTTAGCAGCTCTTGAATCGTCCAAATTTATGTCTTTCCCTCCAATGTCTGCAGTGTTTACCCCACCACACTTACTCCCACATGACTGACGCCATAGGAAGCCCACCTAACGCTTCCCAATGCGGCAAAAAAGAAATTATCACATGCTGTTTTGTGCTTGGAGACGTGGCGATCGCTAATAAGCCCATTTTTCCATTTAAATGTTCGAGGCCCGAATGGGGAAGGGGGCGACAAGAGTGCGAAAGAGTTAGAACTGAAACTTGCATTACTGACAACTCGGTATGACATTTCGCATTCGCGCCTCGATTCGCGTTGGTTGACAAAAAATCTGGCTAACACGAAATAAGTATCGGTCCTAGCACATGACTAACTATGAATCCAAAACTAACAAGTGACCGCATAGCCGCAATGTGTTTGAACAATGTAAACTCACGTGTACGTCAAGTTCACAATTTCTTTGATCTGCAACGCACTTCAGTTTTGTGCGGGCTTACCGCAGTCTCTATTCGGATGGGTTAAAAAGTTATCAAATTAATGACGTGCTTGAGCAATCGGTGTGTGATACATTTCGATGCATATATATATATATATATATATATATATATATATATATGTGTGTGTGTGTGTGTATGTATATATGTATATATATATATATACCTTTTTATATAATATATACGTCAAGATATTATAATATAATATACAACAAGATTTGATATATGTAACGCGTTTAGTTACCTACCAATGTAGCCAATCTTTGGTTGGTAAGGTTATATAACCAGATATTCCTGTCACCCTGGCAGTTGATTCAATTAGCTCGGTATAAAAAACTTCAAGCCTTTTATGCCGAAGAACCAAGATCTCGAGGCTTTTCTCGGTTATGCCGGTTTAACACGCACCTGGGTGGCTGGTTGAATACCACATGCCACATGATACAGGCTGGTATCACCTGCGATCTTGAAACGAACGGAGCAGGCGTCACCAAACTCGCAGGGTCGGTTGTCTGCATACGAATACAATTGTGTCAAAATTTGCGGTTCGTAAGTTATGAGTTTTTTTGCCAATTAAGGCAAACAAAATTATTATTCAGATTGGTGCCCGAAGTGCCCCAAACCGCCCCATGCAACCGCCTTAAACTCTGATGCCCGTTCGAGGCAAATGGTGAACGTGCTAGTTTTAGGTCAATTACCCTTGTTTAAAGGTCGTGGTGATCAAACAACTACGAGGTTGTTTTGATTTTTGAATTAGGATAAGCGTCAAGAATTACGCTAGGCGGTATTTATCTAAAAACGAATGGTTAATCTGGGTCATTTCAGGTCAGTGATCTGCTCTGACCTTTGAGAAGAAGTACATGAAATGTGTCTGTTGCAGATGCATCAAGGAATTCGAAATTAGTAGCAGAAGCTACCCCATAGAATAATATATTCGGTGAATAAGATATTGTTATGACCTTGGTCCGCCCATCATGCCTGACTCGAGGTCAACGAACTTTGTTATAATCCTAAACTGAATCATCTAACTATCTAACAAGCCATCTCAGGGGTGTATGGCTTCGCTTAACACTCAATTGTT